AGGGAGAGAGGAAGGGATATCTGTAAAACACTGAACAATAAAGGTAAGTTTTAAAAAAATAAAACCCTAAAAAAAAGTGATGATAAAAGAACATAAAAATGATTTCTATATTAGCAAAAGTAAAAGTAACCTTTACAAATGAAGGAGAAATCAGACATTCCCAAGCATATAAAAACTTAGAGAATTTGTTGCTAGCAGACCTGCCAGATGGGTGGTCTGAGGCCAGACTTTGCTCCTGGCCTAACCCCAACCTCCAGGGTCCTCTTTGTGTGTCCTTCAAGCTAAATGAAAAAACATGAGACATGAAGTCAACTCCACATGAGAAAATAAATAGAATTCATAAAGGTTACTATATAAGTAAATATAAAAGTCGGTATAAATATATTTTTGTTTGAAAACTTGCTACTGAGAGGGAAAAAGTATGTGTACAGTCTATGTGAATTAGAAACACATACCTGCAATAAAATGCTATGTATATTTTGGAGACACTTAAAAAATATGCACATTATATACAATGGAACAATTGTTCATGGAAGGAGGGAAATGAGAGTTGGGTATGGAAATCAAAGAAAAACGTTAGAAACAGAGACCAGTCCATACAGACATACCAAAGAATTTATAACAAGACAAGATACCTGAAATGTTTTTAAAATTTACAATGTGAAAAATCATAGAATAAAATTGTGGGCAAAAAGATGCAATATTTTTGGGAACTTAACTTTCTAGAAAAACTAGAGTCCAAGAGATATTCACTCATTTAGTCTCAATAATATGAGGCTATTAAATATACTGTCTTCACTATATGCAAGCTTTGCAAATTTTAACAATATATAGTAAGAAAGAAATATTAAAAATTGTGTTTAGGGCTAATCTGCTGAGATGCCTTTATAGGCAATGAGGATTGTTTATAATTTGTGCTAATTTTTATTATTTCCTTGAGTCAGCATTTAATAATGTCACCCTATCCATACTAAATCTAAATCTCACTCCAGAAATATGTGTACCCAATTTTAGAATCTCTCTTGTATGGAAGAATCCCTTAACTTAGGCTGACCAGATTTAACTTGAGAAAAAGTAATGCTCACCTCCCCACACAGAAAAAATAACCATATTTATGTATTTAATTTTTTTTTATTAATGAAATGAGGGAAAGAAAATATTGAGATGGACTTGATTGACATGCATTTGTGAAGAAGCCTCTTGAACAAAGTGAAATTCTTCATTCACCAATAAACTTTCTTCTTTGATTGAGGTCATGATGATTCTTTAATATGTAGAAAAAGGATCTCATTCTTCCATGTACCTGAGGTAAGTTTGGTGTTAGTAAATCAATCATTAATACATTCTAAAATAAAGAACTACAGAATTTGGGGGAGAATTTTGGAAAGAATGCTAAAAATAGAGTGAAACGGAAACTCCTCATCATTGATATTTTAAAAATTAAACCCTGTGCTTTTGATGTTTTATAGTTTCCTCTCTCCCTTACCCCCCTCCCTTCCCTCCTTCTCCTCCCTCCCTCCATCCTTTCCTCCCTCCATCCCTCCATCCCTTCCTTCCTCCCTTCCTCCCTCCCTCCCTCCCTCCCTCCCTCCCTCCCTCCCTCCCTCCCTCCCTCCCTTTCTTCTTTCCTTTTCTTTTGCTTCCTTGTGCTGAAAGCCAAAGTTATCTAAGTAGACAGATTTCCAAATCATGGATTGATTATATAAGAACATATAATTTTCACTTAGCATAATGTTCTGCAGGTCCATCCATGTTGTCAAAAGGGTAAAATTATCTTTTTATTGCTGAGTAGTATTTCACTGTGTAAATGTACCATAGCTGTTTTATCCACTCATGTACTGATGGGCACTTGGGTTGCTTCCAAATTTTGTCTATTGTAAGTAATGTTGCAACGAGCATAGGAGTACAGATATTCTTTCAAATTAGTGTTTTGGGTTTCTTTGGATTAATTCCCAGTCAAGGAATTGCTGGGTCATAGGGCAGTCCCATTTTTAATTTTTTGAAGTAACTCCATACTACTTTCCACAGTGGCTGCACCAATCTGCATTCCTACCGACAATGCAAGAGGGCTCCACTTTCTCCACATCTTCACCAATATTGGTTGTTTGTTGATTTATTGATGATAGCCATTCTAACAGGTGTGAGGTGATATCTCATTGTGGTTTTAATTTGCATTTCTGTAATGACTAGTGGCAGAGAGAATCTTTTCATATGTCTATTGGCCATCTGTATGTCTTCTTTGGAGAAGTGTTCTAAGTCAGTCAGAGAAAGAGAAGAACCATATGATTTCACTCATATGTGGAATCTAATGAACAAACTGAACTAACAAGCAAAATAAAGACAGACTCAAAGAGAGCAGGCTGACAGCCCTTGGGGGGTGTGGGTTGGGGTGGGGAGAGGTAGGGGGCATGGAGAGATTGAGCAAAAAAGAAAAAAAAGAGGAAGATTTCATGGACACAGACAACAGTGTGGTGCTTGTGTATCAAGGAGACGAGGTAGCTGGAGGTGGAAGAGGGTCTAGGGAGGATAAATGATGGAAAAATAAATAAATTAAATTAAATTTGAAAAGAACATACAGTTTTCTACTTAAACTAAATTGCATTATTATTTAGTATGGAGTTGAATATCAGTTTAAATTCTATCTAGTTGAGTGGAAAGCTACACATTCTGATATATTTAACTCATGTTTTCTTTTCACTTTATTCAGAGGAGAATTAAGAATTAGATGTGTGTGTGTCTTCTTTCGGCTAGAACCATTTCTTTTTTAAATGCTGAGTTTGAATGCCTTTAGATGGAACTTCAGCTCCCCATTTTAGGACTTGGCCACCATTTTCTAATCTCACAAATTTGACCTGTAGCCTGGCTTTTTATTTGGGCCGTAATCTCTGAAAGCTGCCACTCTGTCCCTTGACTTTTCCAACTACCATTTATAGCTTTAGCTTGGTCAACCACTTATAAATTTATAACAATCCTAAAGCTGAATTTTTATTCTAGACTTCTCTAGTTCTAGATTTATATACCAAATTTTTGTTTACAAGAGACTGCAACTCAGGAGATACCAAAGCATCTCAAATTAAATATATCTCAAACCGAACCCATCATCTCACACACAAAAATTTTTTTTGTCATTTTTTTCCATTGAGAAGCACCATCATTACCCGAATGCCCTGGCCAGGGCACTGAGAAGCACTTTCAAGTGGGAAAAATCTGTCAACCTTTTAGATATAATCTAAACATATTTAAGTATTTCCTTGTTTTCTCTATCTTCCACAATTAAAATTTATAGACAACATTTACAGCATGAAAGCCTTATACTACAGCATGACATTCATTTCTGCAATAATTTAGCCTCCCTCTAGTTTCTTAACTCCCATTTTCCATCACTCACCCCCACAAACATTGTGCTCTAGCCTCATTAATTTCCTTACCATTCCACAAAATATGCCTTGATTAGTTTACCATCTTAATCTGTAGATTCCTTTGCTTAGATAATCTCTATTTTGAGTTAATCTAAAAAAATTTAAGTATAGAGAAGGAATTATCAAAAAAATTTTTTGCCTTTGGATTTTTCACTTTCTTGTGATACTCAGATACCACATCTCCATTTGTATTGCAAAGGCATTTCCTTTTAAAAATGGGCATGCTAGATGTCATTCCAGAGAAATTAAGGTATTGAATGCCTGATATTTGGATCACTGATTACCTTTCAATAGATTTTCTGTAAGTTTTTTTTCTCTTCATTGCTAGTGTTTGAGATCCCAAGAAACATGTCACTTGAAGTTTTTCCACATTCTGGTGTTGCATAATTTCTATTATCTTACATTTGACACAATGACATTTTGCTAGGGATAAAACCCAATAGTCTTGGGTTTTAAATGCTGGGATTTACCCATATCATTTTTGCCTCACCTCATAGCTTAGACCCAATGTTTCCTTGGGCTTCTTCCATTTCTTCACATTATTTGGGCATTTTGCTCTTACTTCCCTTCTTCTATCGGAGCAATGGTTGACTTCATCTCAGTCATTTGTACTTTAGTATTAATGAGTTTCAATGCCTATTCCTAATAGATGCTTGAAGTAGAGAAAAATATTATTGGGATATTGATGGCTTCATTCAAGTACACATGAAGTTCTAGAACCAGCAATATCTGAGGACAGGATCTGTCAGCATCTCCTTCCCTCTTTTCTCTCAACTTTCCCTTTTCTTCCTAGGCATTATTATTCTTTCCTGTTATTTCCTCAGTCTCCCTTTGCATCTGGTCTGGGATATATGGACAAGTCGCTCTCTACTTCATGTTAACTCTGTGCTCCTTTTAAGCTGTTATGATTGTATTGATTCTTAAGGCTGGGACTGTCATGTGGGTACTTGGGAGGAAAGGACAGATGTATCTTTCACCACCAGTCTCTGATTCAGTGATACTGAGGTCACTGGAGATAAGGTTCATTTAGATATGAAGTAGTAGGTATGGAGGAAGGGAAAAAAGCTTTGTTGAAAATGACTTCTATCATCTTTTCCAACTTCTCAGTTACTTATTCCAAATCTTGGTTTCTGAAAACACCAAATGTCATACACTTTGATATTCAACTTGATCTCTCAGATTTTGAGAGCTAAAGGTATGAGACACTTCAGCATTCCTATATTCCTGTATGTGTTAACAATCTTCACAGTTTATTCTTTCCAGGGGAATATGTGTTGAATTGAACAGATCTGAGCCAAAAAATCATGTATCTCCCATTTTATTCTCTCATGAGTATAAACATAAAAACATATTGTAATAAAAACACCTTTGCCTAAGGCAAATTATTTACTTTCAGTTATATACAAAACCATATAGTGCACAATAGTTAGTGCAGAGTGTTTTTAGCTACCTATAATCACAGCTTACAGAAGACATTATTTACACATAATTCTTATCAAAATCTTAGTTCTTCAAATGGTCCATAATAAAATCCAATATCTTCTGATTTACCAAGGGAGAAATGAGATACTCACCACATCTTTATTGTCCTGTGTATTTTGCTCTGTATAACCAATGGGTCACGGTACATGAGACAATCAACTCCAAAATGGTGAACAGGAACAAATACCATGAAAGGAGTCTACCACTTTTCTGTTTCAAAAAGAAAATGTACATCCCTTATAGGTATATAAAATTGCAGAAAGATCAAAAATAGAAAAGAAAAACTACTAGATATATCCACCACCCTCAATAAATATGGTTATCATAATGATAACTGATAATTATTGAAGATTATTATAAACTGATAAATTTCTGCCAAGTGGATAATGAACATCATTGACTGTGTTTTCTTGTTTGTTGTTGTGGATAAAGTCAGCAAATTTTCTTTGAGTTCAATGAACCTCCAGAGAAGATGGAATTGGGACACTCTTGTGGTCCAGTGTTACAGAACTTACTTAATAGAGAGATGTTCAAAATTAGGTCTGTTGTTAGGAAAGAGCCCAAAAAGGAACTCACAGTGAAGGAATAGGAGTTTGGGTTTGTGACCTAGGCTTATGTATATAGTTTGATATTCAACTTGATCTCTCAAATTTTGAGAATTAAAGGTATGTGACACTTCAGCATTCAGAATCAGTGGTTTCCTCTCGGGACTGCCCCAGTGAACCCATCTCCTTGCAGGATACTTGGGTTGGGAACAAGAATACAAAATCTGTACTAATGGAAACCCAAGCCTGAAGGACCCAAAACACTTTTGTGACAAGGCTGCTGAGGACTGTCTGGATCTGTTTTCAATACTGACATCACTTATAGTAATGGACGCCATGGCAGTGGAAATTATGGGCATGTTTCTCTCTCTATTTCTTTCTCCCATCCTATCTCTCTAAAAATAAATTTTTAAAAAATCCTTAAAAAATATAATTCTAAATTTGTGATGAAATTCACATAGAAACCTTGTACTTACGTGTGGCCAAATAACAGTACTTGAATTTACATAGAATAGAAAAAACTCAGATACTAGTAAAAGCACACCCATTACTGCCAAGCAGGCACTTAAGATGTTCAGTGCTATAGTACAGGACACCTGGAACAGATAAAATTAATCACCTGGTCACTAAAACTTATCCACACGCATCATTGGCAAGTATATTCAAGTAGAAGATGTATATAAACTCTGATCTTTTCAGAACTGTAAGGTCATTAAAAGGACTCTCAGAACTGAAGATTTGTCAGGCTCCCAATAGAACTAAACAATTTTGGAGAAAATAAAACTTTTAATGTAGCATGCACATCTTTAGTCCTTCACCGACAAGTAATTATTGAATGTCAGTTCTGTACCATGCAAACTATGCTCGGTGTTAGTAAATCAAGAGGCATAAAGAAATGGTTTCTGCACTCAAGTCTATTGAGGACAAACAAATGTGAATTTAGTGTAAATACAGTGTAAACATGTTAACAATATAGTGCCATACAGATTCAGAGTACCAGAGAGCTAACATCCCAGAAGTTTGCTATGATTTATTTTAGAGTGCAAAGAGGGGGCTGTAGAAAGTTTAATTGGAGAGACAGGTGCTATCTAGATAGATATTCAGGACTTCATCTTGAAGATAGCAGGGATTTACATCGCTGGAGGTGCCCACCCTGATTTCAGGCCACCCTCTCGTCAGGGTTTGTAGTACAGACAATGCGTACATATGATGTTGCTGCATAATCACGCTTTATCCACATATGAGATCAGAGAGGTGATAAACCATATGATGTTGCTAGCAGAAAAATCCTCTTCTTTTTATTTATTTTATTAACTTTTTAGAGAGAGAGGAAGAGAGAGAGATAGAAACATCAATGTGAGAGTGAAACATCAATCAGCTGCCTCCTGCATGCCCCCTACTGGGGATTAAGCCCGAAACCCAGGCACATGCCCTAATCAGGAATTGAACCACGACTTTTCAGTTCATGGGGTGATGCTCAGTCCTCTGAGTCACACCAGCTGGGTGAAAAAATCCTTTTTTTTTACACTTCCTTCTCATTTGCACTGGTAAAATTCTTTCTATCTTAAATGAGTTAGATAATAAATATGAAAAATTACTGGATCCTGAAATCTATTCCACTGGATACATCATATGTTTATCTAAACTGCCATTCATTGTTGTACATCTCAGTTTATTCTTTTGGAACAAATCTCCTTTATAGGAAGAATCGCATTAAAATAAAATGTTCATTAATTCATTCTTATAACCTAAACATCCAACATTATTATTTAGTAAGTTGCAGGATATAAATTAATGCAATCTTTAAAATGATGAATTTTCAGTTAGATGAACAAATGATTATGTCACAATAATACATTTTTATTTTGAATAAGAGCCACTTTTAATGAGGAAATGCATCAATAAGGCCACTTGCAGCAGGAGTTCTGTGCAGCGTGGAGTTTTACTGGCAAAGGCTTGTCTGAATAAGACAAGTAGAACACTTGCTCTGGTTTCTGGTGTAGGGTGGTGTGTGCTGCAGGGCAGTGTAAGAGAGTAAAGGTGTGGAGGAACTGGAACACTCGTAGCCTGTGGGTGGGAATGTAATATGCTACGACCGCTTTGCAAAACAGTATGGTGTGTTGCCATATGATTCAGGTACTTATCCAAGAAAAATGAAAGCGTATGTCTATACAAAGATTTGTGGGAGAATGTTCATAGTAGCTTTATTTGTCAGGGCTCAAAACTGAAAACAGTGCAAATTCCATCAACAGGTGACTAGATAAACACATTGTGGCATATCCATAGAATGATATAGGACTCAGAAACAAGCAGGAATTAATTAATAATCATGCCGAGTAAAAGAAACCAGAAAAAAAAAAAGAGCGCGTACTGTGTGATTCCATTTATAGGAAACTTATGATTACATTAATATAAAATTCTTGAAAATGCAAACTAGTCTATAGTGACAAGAAACAAATAAGTGGTTGCCTGGATTGTCAGGGGCACAAGGAAACTTTTGAGTGATGGTTATTTCACTGGTGGTGATTGCTATGTTTACTTGATTATAGTAATGGTTTATCAAAGTGTGTACTTGAAATTTGTGAAGTTTGTTGTTTATTGTATATCAATTATACCTCAATAAACCCATTAAAAATAGAAGAAAAATGTGAAGGGCATCATGTGAAAGCCAGATATGGGGGTGAAGTGTGAGGCATGGGATAAAGCTACTTCCCGTGACACCGACATCTACTACAAAGTTATTTTTTTAAGTAATGTTTAAAAATAGAGAATGTATAAATATTATTTTAAGAAATGCTTTGTTACTTTTATTACATTCACTGAAAATGATTAACTATAATCTTTGTTAAAAGTTCTAGGCTTTTAAAAAAAAATTCAGGGAAAGTTTCCCTAACATTTACTCCAATTTCAGTATACATGTGTGATATACACACACTAATATTGTCAGCTATCTGTCTCCTTCTACCTCTCAAACTCCAGTAATTCGGATATTGTTCTTTTGATGGTGTCCCATTGGTCACGTAGGTTTAGTCTGCTCTTTTCCTTTTTTTTTTTCTGTTCTCCTCTGACTCGGGTATTTCTAAACTTCTAGCCTCTAACTCACTAATGCTATCTTATGTTTGATATATACTGCTACTGATGCTCTCTATTGCATTTTTTTTTTTTTTTTATCCTCACTGGAGGATATTTTTCTACTAATTTTTAGAGGGGAAGGGAGAGAGGGAGGGAAAGAGAGAGAGGTCAATGTGAGAGAGACACATCGATTGGTTGCCTCCCACAGGACCCCTATCAGGGCCAGGGACTAAACCTACAACCCAGGTACTTGCTCTTGAATGGAATCGAACCCATAACCCTTCAGTCCCTTCAGATGCTCTAACCGCTGAGCAAAACCGCCCAGGGCTCTATTGCATCTTTTCACCTCATTCACTGAATTCTCTTCAGCTTCAGATTTTCTTTTCTTTTCTTTTTTTATGATTTATATTTCTTTGTTAAATTTCTTATTTTGTTCAGGTATTATTTTTCTGATTTTATTTAGTTGTCTTCCTGTGTTTTCTTCTGGCTCATCGGGTTTCCTCAACAAAACAACTATCTTGAATTTTTTATCAGGTAATTCATAGAAGCCCACATCTTTTGGCTAACTTACTGAAAGGCTATTGTGACTTTTTCAATGATATCATATTTCCTTGATTCTCTATGTTCCTTGAAGTTTTGGGTTGCTGTTTTCACAATTGGAAAAGCAATCACCTCCTCCAGTCTTTCCTAGTTGTTTTCAGGTGGGACATCCTTTTCATTTGTCATGCATAGAGCTGGGACTTTCTCCTACCTTGTATGAATACACTTGTTCCATGCTTCTTGCTTCCTTTTGTGGCAGAATTCTTTTTTTTCAAAATAATTTTTCCTTATTAATTTTAGAAAGAGAGGAAGGGAGAGAGAGAGAGAACATCAATTGGCCACCTCCTGGATGCCCCCCAGTGGTGACTGAGCCCACAACCTAGTCATGTGCCCTGACTGGGAATCAAACCAGTGACCTCTTGGTACATAGGTCGACATTCAACCACTGAGCCACACCGGTCGGGAAGAACTCTTTAGCATGTATGTCTTCTTTTGATCTTTAAACTCACCAGACCAGCTGCTGAAAACCTCTCTCCCTTTTTTAAAATTTTACTTTTATTTTTTTATTTACTGATTTTAGAGAGTGAGAGGAAGGGGACAGGAGAGAGAGAGAGAGAGAGAGAGAGAGAGAGAGAGAGAGAGAGATTTGTTGTTCCACTTACTTATACAAATTGGTTGATTCTTGTATATGCCCTGACCAGAGATTGAACTCCCAAAGGTGATGCTCAAGTGTTTTATTTCTCCCTTGCTGTAGACACTGGCCTGTTTTCTGCTGGCATTCCCTGTCTACTGGAGTTCAATCTCTCACCACCCTTAGGCACACAAGGAGCAGGCCTCAGAGTGGGGGAGGTGTGAGCTTGGCACTTTGGTTGGAGTGCCTGTGGGCCAGATTAAGGGATCTTTCAGTGAAGTTTGGTTAATTTGCAGTGTTCTGAAATCATGAATTTTAGTTGTTTTGCTGGTACTTTCCTTGTTTTGTGGAAGGATGATTCCATGAGTTGCTCACTGTGCCATTTCATAAGTCAATCTCATAACATTAACATTCAAAAGTAGCCCTGACAGGTTTGGCTTAGCAGTTAGAGTGTCGGCCTGTAGTCCAGAGAGACCCGGGTTCGATTCTCGTTAAGGGCGCATACCTCTGTTGCAGTTTGTCCCCAGTCCTGGTTGGTCGTGCAGGTAGCAGCCACTTGATGTGTCCCTTTCACGTTGATGTTTCTCTCTCTCTCTCTCTCTCTCTCTCTCTCCCTCTCCATCTCCCTCCCACTCTATCTGAACAAAAAATGGAAAAATGTCCTCGGGTGAGGATAAAAGACAAACAAACAAAAGTAATTACTTATTCTTCCATTTTATTGCCTGTCAACATAAAACTCAACATGATATCTCACTATCTCATGCCCACTGCCCACAACACAATCAAAAGCCCCCAGACAATGTGAAGAAGGAACAAAGAAAGAAGGTAATAACAGACTCTGGGTCATTTCAAGGTATCCAAATTTACATGCCAGAAACCAACATTTTAATTTGCATTAAATAATTTATCATATAGAAATTTAACTTTATGATTAACTTCATACATCCTAATTTTTATGGCTAATAAAATATAGCAACTAGTTTGGTAATTGAAGTGCATTCTTTTTTGGATGAAAACGCAGTAGAAACTTAAATTTCTTATATTTTAAAATTTTACCCTCCAAAAATGTGGGTAAGTTTTTAGTGACCCAGAGACAATGCTACCTTCTTACTAATTCTTCTTCTCTTGGCAAATAAAACTGTTACCTCTATAGTTCCTACACACATTCTGACTTACCAGAAGCCTTGAACGTGTCCTCTCGAACAGTATTGTAAAGAATCCTGAGAACAAAAACTGAAATAAAAAATTGTATTGATTAGTACCCAGGCATATGTTTATATACATACGTAAAGAATAAAAGAATTATTGGATGCTATAACATGAAGAATATCATCCTGATGCTTTAGTGGGATCACTGAGAAAATCATTTAGGGACTAATTCAATGGTTCTCTATTACAGAGAGGGGAAAATGCATGAAATCTCTGGTCACTAATATAACACAGGTATTGAAAATGAAATCCAGGGGTTCCTTGAGGTGACTGTGGGACAAAAAAAAGTGTCAACAAAAATATAATCATATATTTTTCTGTTCATTGCAAATAACTGCACCATAGTTCACTCAAACAAACACATGGCATTTTCCCCATATTAAAGGATGAATAGCAATTCTTAACTGAAAAAAAAAAAAAAAAGTGTCAAATTTTATTTATTTATTTATTTATTTATTATCCTCACTCGAGGACATTTTTCCATTTTTTTGCTCAGATAGAAGAGAGAGAGAGGAAGAGAGAGCGAGAGAAACATTGATGGGAAAGGTACACATCGAGTGGCTGTTATCCACACGACCAACCAGGGCCAGGGACAAACTGCAACCATGGTACGTGCCCTTAGCGGGAACCAAACCCGGGTCTCTCTAGACCGCAGGCCGACACTCTAACCGCTGAGCCAAACTGGCCAGGGCAAAGTGTCAAATTTTAATTAATTTTTGTCAGTCATAGTTTATATAGCCCATATGTGAATTATAAGAAAATATATCCAGTTAATAAATATACTACTTGATAATATTATGTTTTGGTGATTTCACAAGTGAAAACTGTCAATGTAATGTTAAATATTTTGTTAACAGAAACATTTATGCTTCATTTTGCATATTTAAATATAAGAATCATATAATGTCTTCCATGAGAAACTTGTTCTGAAACCATCCATCATTTCCTAAAACTTGTAGAAAGATAGCAGTTATGGTGTATTATAAGTTTATTTTTTCATTGATACAACTTGTATGCATGCATGGAATTCCCACAGCATTAAAAAATTAACAATTCAGTTAGTAGTAGAGAGAAGGAATGTTTTATCCTCAGAAAAATAAGGTCACTAACATGTCAACACTAAATGCATTTTTGGGATCAGAAGGCTCTGAATTTGAATTCTTTGCACTTTTCCTTTTATAGGACTCTAAGAAAAATTACTTAACCTGTCTTTTAGGTTTGCTGTTTTCATTGGTAAAGTGGGGATATATATATATATATATATATATATATATATATATATATATCCATCCTCACCTGAGGAAATTTTTTCGTTCATTTTTTTTTTTGATAGAGTGGAAGAGAGTGAGGGAGAGAGAGAGAGAGACCAAGACATCAGTGTGAGAGAGACACATCGATTAATTGCCTCCCGCATGACCCTGACTTTGGTCAGGGATGGAATCTGCAACCCAGGTACCTGCCTTTGACTGGGAATTGAACCCATGACTCTTCAGCCTTGGGCTGATGTTCTAACTGCTGAGCCAAACCAGCCAAGCAAGATTAATATTTTCTGTGCTGTTGTGTTACTGTGTTGTTGTAATAGTTATATATAAAGCAATTCCCTGAATTATTTATAGTCGACTCCTGCCTAAGACTCAGAACCACATTTTCCAGAATTTCTTTCCTTTTATGTTCCTGGTTACAACTGGCAAAGAGAAAATCTCAAGCAATATTTGGAAGGGAGAAGGGAAGCAGAAACTGTTACTCTCAGAAAGTCATAGTGATCAGACATGGCAACTGTGGCCTAATTTTCTCCCTCTTATCTGTTATATTTACATTTTGTCTGTCAGGCAGCAGTTTCCAGACTTCTCCATGAACTGCCCTTTGCAACTCCACTCTGGTGGCCAGGAACCGTGGCTTCCTGGCTTTCATTACAGCTTTGGCGCGTCCACTCATTCTAGTGTCTCAAGCAGGAGAGTTAGTGACTCTCTATGATTTTCCAACTCTCCTGGCCACGTCTCCTCGGCACCAGGAACTCAAACGTGTATGAAGGCAGCAATTCTCATACTAGTTTCTATAGTCCTACAAATCTCATACTGGCCCTGTTTTCTTTATAAAACCCTGCACCAAAATAAGCACGTATCACAGGGTCCAAAATTTGGCAAGTAGCAAATACTGATTTTTATTACTTTCTGTTGTATTTTCTACTTCTACATATCTTGCTTGAGATCCTTCTAGACCTTTGATGGGTGCTTCTTTGGTCTTCCAGCTACTTATCTTAGACAGTCTACGTATAGCAAGACAAGACCGTGGTCCTCCTCAGCATCCTGGACTTCCTGAACTTGAGGTCCTCGTTCTAGAAATGCCTCCCAGGAAATCAAAACAAAATCATCAAAAAGAAAACTACCACCAGGACAACATTTTCTCTTTTATCTCAGGCAAAATCACAGTCACAAATAAAATCACTGCAGTTGTTCATTGCACGTTGCAGGGACCTCTTCACAAAGCGCGGAGGCTGAGGCACACCCATCCATTCTCCCTTGTAGCTCTCTTTCTGACTGATAACCCACCAAAGACATCTCAGGGGTGTATGAGCAACAGTGAATTTTACATGATTTTTAGTTAGATCATCAACTAGTTTCAATGGTGTTGATTCCCAATTTGTGTAGAACTTTGAAGGAGGACTTAGGATATGGAGACTAGTTAGTGGGATCCAGAATGGCAACAGAAAAACCTTGATTTGATGGAATATAACAGATCTATTATATTCCCATTTCCTCTTATATTTTTATTGGTCAGGCTAGGGATGGTGATATGCAAGAGAACACCTGGGGGCCATTTTAAATAGGTGGATCAAAGGAGACCTCGAGAGACTAACATGAAAACTGAGCTCATGTGACAAGAGCTACCTGAGTCTTGCAGACTGGAGGGGAGAGTTGTCCAGAAAGAGAAAATGCAAGTGCTTACAGAGAAGAAATCTTTTTTTGTTTAAGTACCGGTGTGCCTAGAACATAAAAAATGAGTGATCATCACCCTATATAAGATTGCCGTGGGATAACTGCTATCCTTTAGAAGAGTATGCTGTTTATTTTCTTTATAACACTTAAAATAAGGAATTTTCTTGCTTGTGTACCCATTATCTCAACTAAGAAAGTGAGGGTTACGAAAGTAGAGGTCTTTTTATTTCTTGCTTAGACTTTCTTGTTCGTTGCTTTATTACAGTCCCTAGAGCATTTCTGGCAAAGAGTGGTCCTCCAATATATTTTTGTACTGAATGAATAAAAATATAATTTAAACAACACTATTTGTGTTAGAAATGAAGTTAAACAAATGTGTGAAAGCTCTGTTAATAGATTTCACATCTGCTGAATTATTCCTTCAGAGTTCATCTTCGACTAGGTCCCAGATGATACAGACCATAAAAAATAGCATTTCATGAAGTCCCAAACAAGACCCCTTCAGGTATATTTGATGTGTATGTGTAAATTACACACTTATTCCAAAATTGATATGGTAAAGTGATGCAAGAACAGTCATGATAACACTGAAGAAGAACAAGATGGTTGGCCTCACTATATTGATATTAAAACTTATATAAAGCCACAGTAGAAAGGACATTGTAATACCAGCACAATTATAGAAAAATAAAGAGTTCAGAAGTAGATTCAAACCAATTTGGACACTCATTTTGTAGAGGCAAAAGAATCTTCCTTGCAATATATTATGCTTTTGAGATTAAGTAACATTTATTTTGCTTTTAATTCTCACATCTAGCAAAATGACAACACAAATTAATGATAAATAAATGTTGCTTGAATAAAACTAAAATATAAACAGAGAAAATAGTACTCTCCAAAAAACTGTTTGAGGCAAAGAAAAAAACCTCAAATAATTTAAAATATGACTTGATCATATCATAAATATAAATACATGTGACAATTTTTACAATGGCAACCTGGCTTTTAATCAGAATATTATTTAAGATATTAATATAATGGACTCATCTGTTCTTCACTTAGAACTTATATGTTTTAATTAAGACTCTCATTTTTCTTGTCTCTACTGCAGAGGCCTACCAGCTGTCTAAAATATAAAATAATGGTATTAAAACAATCTAACCATGACACTGTTCTCAGTCAGTACTATTGTTTGAGGCTGTTCAATAGAAATATAATGCAAGGAACATAAGTAATTTTAAGTTTAGCACTACCACATTAAGAAAAGTAACAAGAAATATGTGAAATTGATTAAAAAATTTTTTCCATATTGACTTTAGAGAGAGAGGAAAGAAGAGGGAGAGAGAGATGGAAACATTGAGGAGAGAGAACATCAATTGGCCACCTCCTGCATGCCTCTCACTGGGGATTTGGCCCACAACCTGGGCATGAGCCCTGACAGGGAATCAAACCGGTGACCTCTTGGTGCATGGGTTGATGCTCAACCACTGAGTCATACCAGTCAGGCATGAGATTGATTTTAATAATATATCTTACACAGCTAAAATATTATCATTTCAATATAGAGTCAATAGAATTATATTTTACATTATTTTTACTCATTAAGTTTTTGAAATCTGGTATGCATTTTACATTTACAGCATTTCTCAGTGTGGTTTAGCTGTTATTTTGAATGCTCAATAGTTACATGTGACTGGTGGTTACTGTATTGGATAATGAGCTCTAGTCCTTGGTAATCTTTATTTTTACTTACTTCTTAGTGATCTCATTCAGTCTCATGGCTTTCAAATATCTACTTGCCAGTGACTCCCAAACTTATATTGATAAGCCTAACTCTATCTTGTAAACTCTAGATTCTATATCCAGTTAGCTACTTGACATCTCCAGGTGAATCTTAAATGTTTCTAGCTCAACATGTTCAAAACAAACTCATTATCTTCCCTGATAATCTACTCACAGTGTTCCCTGTATTCACTGATGACAAGTTATCCCTTTCATTAGCTTAAATCAAAACCCTGGCATTACCCTCTCCTTCTCTTTCATTCCACATCCAATCCATCAGGATATTGCATGAACTCTGATGCAACGTATACCTAAAATCATGTCACGTTTCACCACCTTCACCAACCTGTGTGAGCCTCGCCTGGATTTCTCCAGTAGCTTTCTAAAAGTTCTCCTTGTCTCCCTTTATTAACTTTCAACACAGCAGCCTACACAAATTCCACACATCCCACTCCTTCCCTAGCCTTTTCGTTGTCTCATCTTGCTTACCCCACTGGCACAATAAATGCCTTACGAGTAGCTGAATAGTCATCAACCATTTTCTGTTTTTTCAAAATTCCCACTGGGCCTTTTCCATTTTTCATCAGATCCAAGGGGCATGTAAAAAGTGGATTCTTGCCCTGGCCGGTTTGGCTCAGCAGTTAGAGCGTCGGCCTGACGTCCAGAGAGACCCGGGTTAGGTTCCCGCTAAGGGCATGTGCCTTGGCTGCAGTTTGTCCCCGGCCCTGGTTGGGTCACACAAGAGGCAGCCACTCGATGTGTCCTTTTCACATCGATGTTTCTCTCTCTCCCTCCCACTCTATCTGAACAAAAAATGAAAAAATGTCCTTGGATGAGGATAAAAAAAAGTGGATTCTTATTATGAAAGACTATTACTGATAAGAATCTAGCTGTAGATATCAACTGGATATAAGAATGAGTTCCTTGAGAACAGGAATTATGCATTTTTAGTGTTCTATCCCTGGCACAAGGCGTGGCTCAGAAACAGTCACTAAATGTAATGAATAACAATCAGAGAGTACATTATTTACTCACAACTCCAGATGACCAGTATGGGTATCCTACCAGTGCTGCAACAGGAATGTAAGTTTTCCCGAACGCAGTAATTTGTGTGATTAACAAATATGTCCAGATCATTCCCAGGCAGTTACAAATCAGACCAGTCATCATTTGTATGGCCTAGGAGAAAAGAACACTATTAATTACTACTATCCCTGTCCAACCACTGGAAGGGACACACATCAAGAAAAAGCCAAGGTAGAAGAAAGAAGGTAATGACCAAAGAGAATTTGAGGATTCTCAACCTTCAGTTCAGATGAGGAAAGTTTTTTACTAGTTCAGGAAGTTTGCAGAAACAATGACTATTTACATGTCCAATTAAATTGTACTAGGAGCCTGTATGTCTATTTGACTCAAGAGGTCATAAGACATTAGCCCTGGCGCCCTGAAATAATTGCTGTCCCTCAGTACTATGTGGTTGACAATCCTTACCTGCAGAACCCAGCTCTTATGTACTATAGGTTAGCAGATTTGGAACTTCTGACTATACCCGCCCTTCTCTTGTCCTCTCAAACAGAGATTTGGATTTGGATTCCTTTGGTTCTGCCCACCTCCAGGCCCATCTCTCTGTAACTATAGTTTATATCAGAGTCCTGGGCTCTTTAAGACAAGAGTTAAAGAAAGACATTGAACCTTTGTAATACCTGGTTTCTATAGCTTTTCCTAGGGATCATTACCTGGTTGGGAATTGCTGATGCTTTCGGCCCACTGAAGCCAGGTCAGCCAGGATGGTTTCTGAGCCAGAGAAGAAAAATTCTGACCTTGCTCTGTAGAGCCCTCTAACATCTACTGTAGGGCCTTTTAGTTGGTTTTCAGATAGATGTTTCTCAGGCGTGCCTCCTTCTGCCACAGCTGAATGCGTTGCCCTCCCTTGTCTCCCCAACCCCAAACGTAAGAGTGAGTCCGGAAAATTCCTGAAGGAGTTATACTGAAGTTTAGAACCTAGCATCTTTTGCCTTACCTCAACTCGTATTTCCACGATGCCTGGGATACTGACAACCGTTTTTCTCATCGACCCTCTTAAACAGGGTAACTTCCACTTGAAGTTTGCAATAGGCTCCTGTTCTGTTATGTGATTATGAGAAGAGCCAAGGAGTGCATAACTGGTGTACTTCTCTCTCTTGGGAGAGTACTCTGACCTCTAGGCAACACGAAACTCTACACTCGGTGGCACTTGGGACAGGCTGTGGCAGAGGGAGGAGGCAGGGGGACCCTGGGGTACAAAGGACTTTCCCCATTCCTGCAGTGGTGTAGATTTCTACTCCTTGCTGGTTTGGAATACATTAACTTTCTCTGAAGTCTGAGTTTGTGAAGGATGCAGGATTTAAAAAACAACAAAAACAAAACAAAACACATTTTCTTTTTAAATAACTATAGATACACAGGAATTTGCAAAAGTAGTAGAGAGAGGTCCTGTGCACCCTGAACCTGGATTCTCCAAATGGTTACATCTTACACAACCATAGTACAATCTCAGCATGAGGAAACTGACCTTGGTATAATGTGTGCTTTGAGTTCTGTGTCATCTTGTCACATGTGTATATTTGTGAACGAACCCATCACCATAATCAAGACACAGAAATAGTCCATCACCACAAACATATTCTTCCTGCTACACCATACAGTCATGCTTCCTTCACCTGCCTTGTCCCCTGGCAGTCACGAATATGTTTTCCATTGCTACACTTTTGTCATTTCGAGGCTTTCCTATAAATGAATACTTCAGTGTGTACTGAAGTATTTAGAGATTGGCCTTTTTATTTAGCTAACACCCTTGAGATCCATCTAAGTTGTTGTATGTATCAATACAGTTCATTCCTTTTCATTTCTGAGTAGTATTCCATGGTATAGATGAATATTTCAACTATTCACCTATTGAGGAACATTTGAATAGTTTTCAGATAGTTTGGGGGATTGTCACGGATAAAGCTACTATGAAAACTCATGTATAAGTTGTGTAGGTATCAGCTTTCACTTCTCCAGGATATATCCCAGGGGTACACCTGCTTGGTTTAATGGTAAGTGTAAGTTTGGTATTTTAAAAAAAACTGTTAAACTATTTTCCAGAGTGACTCTAACATTTTTATATTTATACTAGTAATGTAAGAGAGACCCAGTTTCTTTGCATCATCACCAGTATTTGGTATTGTCATTGTTTCTTATTTTAGTTGTTCTAATAGGTGTGTAGCGATTGCCTCATTGTGGTCTTGGTTCGCATCTCTCTAATGGCTAATAATGCAGAATATCTTTACGTAATGTATATTTGCCATCTGTATATCCTCTTTGATGAAATGTCTCTTCATGTCTTTTGCCCATGTTAAATTGGATTATTTTTTATTTTATTGTTGAGTTTTGAGAATGAAAAAAATATATTGTAGATATAAATCCTTAGTCCGCTATGTGGTTTGCAAGTATTTTCTCCCACTCTGTAGCTTGTCATTCCATCTTCTTAACAGGGCCTTTCACAGAAAAATGTTTTAAATTTTGCTGAAGTTTAACTTATTGATTTATTTTTTCTATATGAATCATGCTTTTGGTGTCATGTCTAAGAACCCTTCAATGAATCTCAGGTACCAAAGATTTTCTCCTATTCTCTCTTCTAAAAGTTTTATAGTTTTACATTTTATATTTAAATCTATGATCCATTTTGAATTAATTTTTGTATAAGGTGGCAGAGTTAGGTTGAAGTTCTTTTATTTGTGTTTTGCCTATGGCTATCTAATTGTTCCAGCAAATTTGTTGAGAAGACTCTCTTTCCTCCATTGAGTTTTATATATATACACACACATTATATATATATATATATATATATATATATATATATATATATATATAGTCATCTGTACATGTGTGGATTTGTTTCTGGATTGTGTGCTCTGTTCTACCAATCTATGTATCTGTTACTGTGCCAATACCACAGTCTTGATTATTGTAATTGTAGCTATATAAAATCAGGTAGCATGATTCCTCCTACTTTAATCTTTTTCAAAATTTTTGTCTATTCTAGTTGCTTTGCTTTTTCATGACATTGGATTTCACAATGATTATTTGATATGAGACTAAAAACACAGGCAACAAAAGAAAAAAAGATAAACTGAAGTAGATCAAATTTGAAAACTTCTGTGCATTGAAGAATACAATCAGTAGAGTAAAAAGGCATCCCACAGAATGGTAGAAAGTTTTTCTAATCATATATCTGAGGAGTAAATGTCCAGAAAATATAAAGAATTTCTACTACTCAATAAGAAACATACAACCCAACAAAGAACTGGGCAGAGGACTTGACATTTCTCTAAAGAAGACATACAAATGGTCAAGAAGCACATGAAAAGATGCTGAACATCACTAATCATAGGAATATGCTCATCAAAAACCATTATGAGATACCACTTTACACCCATTAAGATGGCTACTACCAGAAAAAGAAAAAATGGGCAGTGTTGGAGAGGATGTGGAGAAATTGAGGCACTGTTGTAAATTTCTGCTGTTGCTACGAAAACAGCTTGGCAGATTCCCAAAGGTTACATATAGAACTACTATATGAGTCAGCAATTTCATTCCTATGTATACATATAAAAGAATTGAAAGCAGGGATTTAGATACATATCCATACCCTTATGTTCATAGCAGCATTATTTGAAATAGCTAAAAGGTGGAAGCAACCTATCTGTCTATTGATGGATGACTGGATAAACAAAATTTGGTTATACATACAATGGAGTATTATTCAGCCTTGAAAAGGAAATTATGATTTATCTATGCACACATACATACAATGTGGATGAAGTTTGAAGATATTATGCTAAGTGAAATATGCGAATTACATAAAGACAAGTGCTATATGATTCCACTTATCCTAGGTACTAGAGTAGTCAAATTCATAGAAATGGAAAGTAGAATGGTTATTGCTAGGGGCTGCAGGGCAAATGGGGTAGTCATTGTTTGATAGGTATAGAGTTTTAGTTTTGCAAAATGAAAAGAGTTCTGTGAATGGATGGTGGTGATGGTAGCATAACAGTGTGGATGTTATGTCCCTGAACTGTATCTTTAAAAATGGCTTTGACAGTAAATTTTATGTTATGTGTATTTTAGTACAATTGTTAAAAATATTACTTAAATCTTCTGTTTCAACAGATCTTTGCTGATACTGTGCTGTCGAGAGCATGGTGGCACAGCCTCGTAACTGCTGGTAGGAGTTAAATTCCCCAGGCAGCCTCCATTGACACTTGGGGAGGACACCTTAGGGCTTCCCACTAGGTCTCTTCTGACTCCACCATGGCTGGCTGGAATCGGCTCTCCACTTTACTGCTTCCTGTGAGTGGCCTCTATTGACATTGGAGGCTGGGATAGGGGGTTCATTTTTTATGAGCTATAAGCCTCCCACTTAGCTGTCTCTGACACCAACTAGGAAAGGGGAAGGGTACCTAGTTATAACCAGGTGATGGTGGAAGTCTAAGTTTGCATATGGCCTTTGTTAATGGAAGTGGAGAAATGGCCATGGTTTTTCCTTTGGTGTTTGGCTCGAGTAGGGCAATTATTGTCTGCAAGTTTTCTGCCTTGATAGACTTCCCCTTTCCTGAATCTATGGCTGGAAAAAATAGGCTTTTCTTGTTTGTTCTTCTCCTTTTCCTCCCCACCTCCCCTCTTCCCCCTTCTTCTCTTCCTCATTCTCTTTTGGTCTGTGCTAATTATTGTTTTGTTGTATAGGCTTCTTGAGCACTCAGTTTGGCTATTTGAAGCAAAAAAAACCCAAAAAAACAAAAAAAGAAAAACCAGAAAACTCACCACCATGTCATTCCTTGGGTTCTTAAGTCCCTAGCTCTTGTGCCTCCTCTGTACCTTTCAGAGTTTTCTTACATTTCTCCAAAGTTTTAGCTTTAATTAGTGGTAGGAATAGGGAGAAGCATATCTACTTCAGCTTGTCCAGAATTGGAAGCTGGAATGTTTTATTGAATAAAATGAGACTGAACCCTGGGATAATGGTAGATCTCATTAAAGGACAGTAATGTGGTTAGTAACAGACCTATTTATTCTCAGACACATTTTAACTATTACTTCTCAGTACCCAGACCAGATAAGTTGTCAAGGAGGTTAGGAATCCAGATCTTCAACAACATAACATTGGGAATGAGAGAACACTTTGGGTCCCTTGCTTGCTTTATGTAAGGCTCTTAGTACAATTCTGGCAGAGGACCAGGGAGGTCTTAAATGAGTGAAGTCAGTAATGGACTTGAGGTGTTGGGACTATTCCTGGACCAAGCTTTAATTCTATTGATTTGATTCCTAATCTGGTGTTATCATCCAACAATATGGACGGATAATGCAGAAAGATAAAACCTGCTGGATTTGAAGGGAGATGACTAGGAAAAAAATGGCATGTCTGGGAATGATGTCAAGAAGATAGTGCTACTGTGACCATTGTTCACAAACTGAAGCTTCTCCTGAATACCATTTCTACAATCTGACCATCTCTTTGGGACCATTTCACCATCAGTTTAGCCTTAAATAATTTAGAGATGCCAAAAAAAAAAAAAAAAGTTTCTACCCATTTACAGACTCAGAGTATATTTTCTAAGCGTATGACTAGGTTGTAATGGTGTGAGGTTACTTAAATGCAGTTGATAGATTCATAATTTCTGCTTTATCTTTAGCCTGATATACAGTTCATATGTTCAGGCTGCATGAGGAAAATGCAGATGTTACATAACCATTTCAGGACACGTTCATTAATTCTCCTCCATTTGGGGAGTTCATAATAGAGGTGCTTAAAGTCTCCTCTTTATATTTAGAAATTGCAACACTATAGTCATCTGTTCACTCGAGTGGCATTTAGTTCTTACCCCCAACATTCTTGTTTCCTTTCTTATCTTCAGACGATTCATTGGCATTTTCCCACTAGAACACAGTACAAAAATGAGAGGACTAATGTGTTTCTTCTCTGTAGGAAATATGGAGACTAATATTAATTATTTTCCTGGGTAAGATACTTACGATTGAGAGGGAAATTTAATCCTAGAGCTGCCGATTTTTTGTAGTCCCTTGAGAAACGTTTTTCATCGATATTACTATCTTGAAAAAAAATCCAATAATTATTTATCAAATACTTTTCATTTGACAAACTTAAATTGGACTGTATTAAGTAGTATGTGGTACGTGCACCCATCCATCAGTCCCACTAGAAATCACCTACCACCCACCTTCACAGAGTCAGAAAAATTGGACTTTTGCTTGCTCATTCTCTTTGTACTATTTCCTTCCTTTGTATTATTCCTTCTGATGTAGGGGTGCCTGACTGGCAAGACTCAAATCACATGCCCACATCATCTGCATAGGAAGCTGAAAAATAACGTGCTATATATTCACCTTAGGGAAGGTGTCAAATTGTGGCTAACCTTTGGAATTTGTAGATAACTCATATCAGTCCTCCTAGACTCCACATGTAATATTCACGAGACTTTTTTCTTGAGACTAGCTGATTACGCCCTGGCCGGTTTGGCTCAGCGGTTGGAGCGTAGGCCTGCGGTACAGAGACTAGCTGATGAGGACAAAGGTGAATTATTTGGGCTGGTCTCTGGATATGAAGTTCTAAACCCTTAGGAGCAGTGGCATTGCCATGTTCTACCTCGTGGATAGAGTTGTGGAGAAAGTGAGTTTGGGGAGTGAGAAGAACAGAGAGAAAACCTACAGAAAAGCAGACATGAGAAGGAACAGAATTTCCTGAGTTTCTGATGGTTTCAGTTTTTTTTTTTTTTTTTTTTTTTCCTCACCCGAGGACATTTTTCCATTTTTTGTTCAGATGGAGCGGGAGGGAGAGAGAGGAACAGAGAGAGAGTGAAACATCGATGTGAAGGGACACATCGAGTGGCTGCCACCCGCACGACCAATCAGGGCCGGGGACAAACTGCAACCGAGGTACGTGCCCTTAGCGGGAACCGAACCCGGGTCTCTCGGGACCGCAGGCCGACGCTCTAACCGCTGAGCCAAACCGGCCAGGGCTGGTTTCAGTTTTTTAGTTCCAATTTTTTGTTTGTTTTTTTTAAACCTGGCTCACTCCTAGTCCTTATGTTATGTAAACATATCTGTTCATATATTACAGTAATATATCTCCATTTCGCTAAAACTAGAAAGAGTTTCTGCTGCAACCGAGATGCTTTTGTTTTTGTTTTTAAATCGCCTCATCTTCTAACTTTTCTCACATAGCTTTGGTAGTCTACTCTCTAGAATCTCCAGTGTCTGATGGACCTTCCTTCTTTTCTTTTTCAACCTCTAACCTATAGCTATATCTGAAGTCTGAGACGTTGTCTTCAAATTCTTAACTCATAAACTTTTCCTTCCGGTTGCATAAACCTCGAACTCTTACTGTCTGGGTTGCCCCTGGTGCTTGCCATTGCGAAAGTGTAGAAAGATACAGGGGAAAGGGTCAAACTTGAGTGCAAATCTTGTCTTACCAGTTACCATAAGACCTTGCCCATATCCTTTATTCTTTCAAAGGCTGTGTCCTCAGCAACAAAAAACCTGTAGGAGTGTATTGCAGAGGAGGAGGCAAATAAGAGAAACCTGTTCAAAACAGAAATTCAAGTAAGAACTACGTTGGGAACTCCGCGGCTTCAGCTTGTTCCTTACTGACCACGGATCTCTACCTTCAAGCGATCACAGGGCTACAGGGGCATGGTCCAGCAGGTGGCGCCCTTACTTCTGAGCCTTTCTGCTCCAGGAGTCCCGGCAGCAGCACCTGCCCAGGGGCACTGGCTGCTTCCTAGGTGGTGGGGCCCTTCATCTCTCCTCGAGGTTCCAACACCCAGGGGTTTGTGACTAAGAGCCCGGCTTCTGGGGCGCCGCGCGAGGAGTCCCGCGCGGACACCTCTGCGGTGGGGACCTCGGAGCTCCGCCGAGTCTGTCTGCTTCCAGGACAAGAACAGGGAATGAGATGTGGGGGGGAGAGAGGTGACACACACAAAGGTATACACAAGGGTGGGCAAAAGTAGGTTTTCAGTCCCACGCATGGAAAGACATGCAGGCTATGATTATTACAACAGCTTTATTAACTCAAAGGAATGTCACAATGGCACTTACAAGGTTGTACCTAAGAGCACTGTGCCATTGTGACATTCTTTTGAGTTAATAAAGCTGTTGTAATAATCATTGTTTGCTTTGAAAAGCAGTTGAACAGATGATCCAAGAAATGAGGAGAAATAAGGAGCAAGAGGAATGAAAGGGATGAAAGACAGCAGAGACTTTCAGGACAGAAAGAAACTTGAATAAGGAGAAGGTCAAAGAACAGTAATGAAGGGACTATGAATTGGATGCCCTTTGATTCATACTTTGTTCAGGTAGAAGCTAGTTCAGGTAGAAGAACTAAGACTGAAATGTACTCTTTACTGGTAGGGGCAAAAATTATGTAAAGTTTTCCGGAGAATTATACCACAACACGCTCCCAAGTCTGTAGTCTGCACTGGGGAGACAATCACAGATTTTATTTTTTATGGTGTCTTCTAAAAGCTAAATGACAGCTCTTCAGATTACCTAGAAAATAAATTCTTCCTTGTAATAATATCAGATTTAACTAAGAAAATGCTTTCGACTTGGGCCTACAAAAATATGTGCAGAGAAATTTCTTGAATACTGCAAAAAAAAAAAAAAAAAAAAAAAGTCCAGCTTGTTTCATACTTTATTTTGCACAAAATCTGTGGGCTATGTAGCAACTTTGTTATACAGAGATATCATTAGGGCCCACAGCAGGTCTGGGTACCGGGAAAAATCTCATGTTTCCAAGGTTTTTAAAAACCTCTCTCAGCTTCATCTGTAACAGTTGTAAAATTGTCTTCACTATCACGACCCTGAAAAAAAAATTAGCCTGTTATAAATCCTGTTTCTTAAAATAATACATGTAATACTTAGTTTTTAAAAAATGCAAGCAGCTCTGATGTTTATAAAATAAAATGTTAAAGCTGTCCTCTTTCTATCTGATCTCTACCACAACCCACTCTCTTAATTCCTATTAGACTACATGTAACTTTTGGCTTACTTTCAGACTTTTATATAAAAAAAATATGAATGGTCTTCTCGAACATGAACAGTTGCCACATCCCAAAAGTCACCTTGTCTAACATTTCCCAATTATTACCTATTCCTTCCCTCCAAAAGTAACTGTCACTTTGACTTTTAGGTAATTAAGCCTTTCTTTTCTTTCTAGTTTTACCAACTAGCTTGCATCCTTTTCTAAAAATTATAGTTTAGTTTTGTCTAGTTTCAAACTTCATATAAATAGAATAATAAATTATTCTTTTGAGTCTGCCTTCCTATACACAAACAACATCATATAAGAGATTCATCCATCTTGTTAAATGTAGGTGTGATTTGTTTTAATTTCTACGTAGAATTTTATTAGAGTAATATACCTCAATATATTCACCATACATCTATTTGCATTTTTCCACTTTGAGGCTATTATGTATAATACTGATATATATATATTTCCTGGAAGGATATCTTGGTAACATATGCACACATTTCTGTTGGGTGTATACTAGGGACTGAAATTACTGATAGGGTATGCACATCTTAACTTTTAGTAAATAATGCCCAAAACTTTTTCAAAGTTGTTGCAATAATTTACATTCCAACTGGGAGTGCGTGAGAGATTTCTTTTATCCAGTTGTTACCATCACTTAGAATTATATTTTGAAATTTAGTTACTTTGTTATGTACTTAATATTTCATTGTAGTTTTATTTTCATATTATTATTGAAATGATTAGATAGATTTATGCCTAATAACTTATTTGTTTTTTATATGTGTCATAAATTTTATATTCTTCCTTTAATATTAAAAATTAAATTCTTTCTATGTATCAGCTTAATTTCTCTGTTGATTTTTACTATATTTTTGAGTTTTCTTAGTCATTGGTCTAGGGATTACAATATGCATCTTAATTTATCCTCATTTGCTTCAGATGAAAGATAATTTAATCCCAGTAAAATACAGAAACTTTGTATTCATGTAGCTCTATTTCTTCCTTTGTGTTATTATTGTCATATATACTATATCTACATATGTTATACACAAAATAGAACCAGAGGCATGGATACATGGAACAGACTGACAGCTGTCAGAGAGGAGGAGGATTGGGGGGAAACTGGATGAAAGAAAGTGAAGAGATTAACCAAAGGACATGTATTCATAGTCCATAGACAGAGGCAACAGTGTGGCAATGGTCGTGGTGGGGGGCGGGGCAGGAGCTGGGTGGAAGTGGTAAAGTTGGGGGGATGGGGGACATCTAGAATAGTATCAAAATGCTTTTTTTTTTTTTTTTTTTTTTTACAGAAAATCATTTTGGGGTCTGAGTGGAGGTGGGCAAAGAGGTGGGCAAATGAGGATATTTATAATAATGTCAACAACAAAAATAAAAGAAAGAAAATCATTGAGGAGAAAGGATACCTGCATGAACAGGTTTTTAATACAGATGAAAGTGTCCTAGTTTGTTTAAAAAAAAAAAAAAAAGCCACAGAAGACCTTATTAGTAAGGAAGAAATGTGAGCACCAGGATTTAAAGCAGGAAGAGATGATCAGGACTGCCCTTATCTATAAAGCTGTTCACCCTGAACCTTGACAGGAAAAGATAAACACCAGCTGCCAGTCCTCGGATTGAACAAGAAAGCCCGCACCAGAACCCTTTTCCTGGATTGGTTCCATCGAGGCTTTACACTGCAGCCAGGAAGTACCTAGCCAGCAAACGGCTGCCTTTTATTATTTATTTATTTGCAATTTTTATTAATTTATTTTTGTTACAGATGTTTCTCCTTTTTTCCCCCTAGACACCCTCCTCCCCGTCCCACCCCCTGCCCCCAGCATTGTTGTCTATGGACATTGGTTACAAATACATTCATATAAGTTCTTTGGTTTATCTCATCATCCCCCCGAACCCTCTTCTCTGAGGTTTGTCAGTCTGAACTGTACTCCTTTCTATGTCTTTGGGTCTATTTAATTCATCAGCTTGTTTTGTTCATATATTCCACAAATAAGTGAGATCATGTGGTATTTGTCTTTCTCTGATTGGCTTATTTTGCTTAGCATAATGCTTTCCAGGTCCCTCCATGTCATCTCAAAGGATAAGAGAGCTCTCTTTCTTACAGCTGCATAGTGTTCCATTGTGTATATGTACCACAGCTTTTTTATCCACTCATCTATTCATGGACACTTGGGCTGTTTCCAGATCTTAGCAATTGTAAATAGTGTTGCTATGAACACAGGGGTACATATATTCTTTCTGATTGGTGTTTCAGGCTTCTTAGGATATATCCCCAGAAGTGGGATCAATGGGTCAAATGGCAGATCCACTTTTAATTTTTTGAGGAAACACCATATTGTCTTCCATAGTGTCTGCACCAGTCTGCATTCCCACCAGCAGTGTACTAGAGTCCCCTTTTCTTCACACCCTCACCAGCACTTACTGTTTGATGATTTGTTGATGGCAGCCATTCTGGCAGGTGTGAGGTGATACCTCATAGTTGTTTTAATTTGCATCTCTCTGATGATTAATGACGTTGAGCATTTTTTCATATGTCTCTTGGCCATTTGTATGTCCTGTTTGGAGAGGTGTCTATTCAGCTCCTCTGCCTATTTTTTAATTGGCTTCTTTGTCTCCCTTTTGTTGAGTTGTATGAGTACTCTATATATTTTGAAAATTAACTCCTTATCTGATGTATCATTGGCAATTATGTTCTCCCATATAGTGGGTACCCTTTCCATTTTGATGCTTGTTTCTTTTGCTGTGCAGAAGCTTTTTAGATTGATGTATTACCATGTATTAATTCTTTCCTTTGTTTCTCTTGCCTCAGGCGTTGTATCAGTGAAAAGTCTGCTGTGTATGATGTCTGAAATTTTGTTGCCTACATTTTCTTCTAGGATTTTTATGGATTCACGTGTCACATTTAAGTCTTTTATCCATTTTGAGTTTATTCTTGTGTATGGTGTAAGTTGGTGGTCTAGTTTCATTTTTTTGCGTGTAGCTGTCCAGTTTTCCCAGCACCATTTATTGAAGAGACTGTCTTGACTCCACTGTACGCTCTTGCCACCTTTGTCAAATATTAGTTGAGCATAATGTCTTGGGTCAATTTCCAAGTTCTTTGTTCTGCTCCATTGATCAATATGCCTGTTCTTGTGTCAGTACCAGGCTATTTTGATTGCAATGGCTTTGTAGTATAACCTGATATCCGGTACTGTGATGCCTCCTACTTTGTTCTTTTTCAAGATTGCTGCGGCTATTTGGGGTCTTTTTTGGTTCCATATAAACTTTTGAAGTATTTGTTCTAGTTTTGTGCAATATATTGTTGGCATTTTGATGGGGATTGCATTTAATCTATAGATTGCTTTGGGTAATATGGACATTTTAATGATGTTAATTCTTCCAATCCATGAACAAGGTATATACTTCCACTTTTTTATATCTTCTTCTATTTCTTTTTTCAATGTCCTATAGTTTTCTGCAAATAGGTCCTTTACATCTTTGGTTAAGTTTATTCCTGGGTATCTTAATTTTTTTGCTGCAATGGTAAATGGGATTGTTCTTTTAGTTTCTCTTTTTGTGAGTTCATTATTGGTGTATAAGAATGCTGTCGATTTCTTGATGCTAATTTTGTATCCTGCTCTTTTGCCAAATTCATTTGTTAAATATAGTAGATTTTTGATGGGGTCTTTAGGGTTTTCTTTGTACAATATCATGTCATCTGCAAATAATGACAGTTTCACTTCCTCCTTTCCAACTTGGATCCTTTTTATTTTTTCTTCATGTCTAATTGCTGTGGCTAAGACTTCCAGTACTGTGTTAAATAAGAGTGGCGAAAGTGGGCATCCCTGTCTTGTTTCTGATCTTAAGGGAAATGCTTTTAGTTTTTGCCCATTGAGTATGATATTGGCTATATGTTTTTCATATATAGTCTTTATTATGTTGAAATATGATCCCTCTATTCCCCCATTGCTGAGCATTTTTATCAGAAATGGGTGTGAATTTTGTCTAATGCTTTTTCAGTATCTATTGATATGATCATATGGTTTTTATCTTTCATTTTGTTTTTGTGGTGTATCACATTTCTTGATTTGTGAATATTGTACCATCCTTGTATCCCTGGGATGAATCCCACTTGGTCATGGTGAATAATTTTTTTAATGTATTGCTGGATTCCATTTGCTAATATTTTGTTAAGTATTTTGGCATCTATGTTCATCAGAGATATTGACCTGTAATTTTCTTTCTTTGTAGTGTCTTTATCTGGTTTTGGAATTCGAATTCTGCTGGCCTCATCAAATGTGTTTGGAAGTATTCCTTCTTCTTGAATTTTTTGGAATAGTTTGAGGAGAATGGGTGTTCTTCTTTGCATGTTTGGTAAAACTCCCCCATGAAGCCATCTGGGCCTGGGCTTTTGTTTGCTGGGAGATTCTTGATTACATCTTCAATTTTCTTAGTTGTTATTGGTCTGTTCAAGTTTTCTATCTCTTCCCGGTTCAGTTTTGGTAGACTATGTGTTTCTAGAAATTTGTCCATTTTACCTAGATTGTCTAATTTGTTGGCATATAATTGTTCATAGTATTTGTTAATGATCTTTTGTATTTCTGTGATGCCAGTTGTTACTTCTCCTCTTTCTTTTCTGATTTTGTTTATTTGGGTCTTCTCTCTGTTTCTTGGTGAGTCTAGCGAAGGGTCCATCAATCTTATTTATCTTTTCAAAGAACCAGCTCTTTGTTTCATTGATCTTTTAAATTGCTTTTTTAGTCTCTATGTCTAAATAACTGCCTTTTAAAGTTCGTTTTGTTTTTTTTTTAATCCTCACCCGAGGACTTTTTTCGATATTTTGTTCGGATAGAGTGGGAGGGAGAGAGAGGAAGAGAGAGAGAGACACATCGACGTGAAAGGGACACATCAAGTGGCCGCCACCCGCACGATTTGACCAGGGCCGGGGACAAACTGTAGCCGAAGTACATGCCCTTAGCGGGAACCGAACCCGCGTCTCTGTAGACCGCAGGCCAACGCTCTCACCGCTGAGCCAAACCGGCCAGGGCTAAAGTTCTTTTGATATTGGACAATGCCATTGGCCACCCAGAACCTCATGAGTTCAACAATGAAAGTGTTGAAGCAGTCTACTTGCTGCCAAACCTGACATCTTTGATTCAGCCTCTAGATCAGGGGTTATAAGGACCTTTAAGGACCATCATTATACATGGTAACATGGTACTCTATGGAAAGGATTGTCAATGCTATGGAAGAGAACCCCAATAGAGAGCACATCTTGGAAGTCTGGAATGGTTACAGAATTACATTTCTGTACAGTATGCCTCTCTTTAATAGAAGAAAGTGCATATCAGCCTGTGGTCACAGGTAAATGGTTTTTTGTTTTTTTTTTAAATGTAACAATGTTGCCCTGGCCCGTTTGGCTCAGCAGTAGAACATCAGCCTACAGACCAAAGAGTCACGGGTTTAATTACGGTCAAGGACACATTCCTTGGTTGTGGGTTCCGTGTCTCTCTCACGTTGATGTCTCTCTCTCTTTCTCCCTCCCTCCCACTCTATCTGAAGATAAAAATGAAAAAAAAAGTATCCTTGGGTGAGGATTAAAAAAAAAGTAACAATGTTTCCTATACTTTATTATGAATATGACTGTAATACTGTATGCCATAAAGATGTGAATGATTCATTTATTAGTGTATAGGCTAAGCTACTGTGAAGCAATCAGATCAATTACCCTAGGCTACCACAAAGCAATCATATTGCTGTTTTTCATTATCAATGCATGAATCGTTAAACCTATAAATAAATATAAATTTATTTTTCACATTATCTTTTCATTTTTTATGTCTAGTGTTAGTAATATGCATACCCTGTAAGACAATATTGATGCAGGTGCTCACAGACAGTTAGTTCATCTTATAAATAGATGACATAAATTTACAGTATCAATAAATGCAGTGCTATACATGTATTTTCTATTATAATTTCTTTAATAACATTTTCTTTTCTCTGACTTACTTTATTGTATGAATATCGCATATATGTAAAGTGTCCCAAAAAATGTATACACAAAAATGTGTAATTATAAAGCCAGTGTTTATTAAAATACATTTCATTTTCAAAGTGTAATAGAATCTACAAACATCCTGTATACATTTTTGGGGGGGACACCCTTTATAATATACAAAATATGTGTTAATTGACTGCTTATGTTATTGGTAAGGCTTCTTGTCAACAGCAGGCTATTAGTAGTTAAGTTTTTGGGGAGTCAAAAGTTACACACAGATTTACAACTGGATGAGGGTGTCAGTGTCCCTAACCTCTTTGTTGTTCAACAGTCAACTGCACACATCTAGAAATCAACTACCTACAGAAATATTAGCCTTAAATGCAAAAATATATGTACTGGGATGTTCACTGCATCATTGTTTTATAATTCAAAAATTAGAAACCAGCTAAATATACAGCAATAAAGAAATGTTAAAATAATTTTAAGTAAAAGTATGATGCTATTAAAAGGCATTGTTTAGATAGTCTTTGTAATGAAAAGATTTTTGTGACAGTTAAAAAAATGCATGGGACCAAACAATATCAGTATGATTGCACAGTTAGCAACACAGAGAACTGTGTGTCTGTCTGTATCTTTTTGTGTAGATTTGCATGTGTGGGTATGACAAAAATTACATTAAGAGAACAGTAGCTTTTAAAAAAATCCTCACTTGAGGATATGTTTATCGATTTTAGAGGGAGGGTTTGGGTGGGGGAGAGATTAGAACAGTGATTGGTTGCCTTCTGTATGTGTCCTGCTGGGGATTGAACTGGCAACCTAGGGATGTACCCTGACCAGAATGAACCCATAACCTTTTGGTATACTGGACCACATTCCATCCAACTGAGCCACACCACCCAGGGCAAGAGGACACTAACTTGATAATTTTTTAACATTTTTATTTACAGTTGTATTATTCCTTTTGTAATTGTATAAACAGTAAAATAATGAAAACATTTAAAAGCAAAGGAAATGTTATCACATATTTCATTTTTATTGATTTTAAACATATTGGATCAGTGCACTTCATCTCCTCATAGAGCCTACTAAAATCAACATCCCTTGATAGGCCAGTGAGGAGATAAACACTTACCAAATCAGAACAGGTTAAGATCGAATATGAAACTGCAACAACAAATTCCAAGGGGTAGGACAACAGTAAAACACGTGACACTTCCCTCCCAAGTTTCTGAAACCAGAAAATAAGGAGAAGTCTTACATTATTGTTTTTAGTAAGAGCAACTGTGTTCAAGAAGGGAGCTCCTAGTATGAGAGAAAAATAAAAGTATTTCGAGGCATGCACTTTGGGGGCTGACTGCACCTACCTGTGAACACTGGTAACTTGATGAGTTTGTGGATTTAGCCAAATCACTTGCTTATGTTAGAAAGGTTGGCATATGGAAAATCTTGTAAAATGCTGGCTGCTTTAGTAAATGTAGGTAAAAGGAAAGACAGCGGGTGAGAGATGTAGGTCTAGCATACAAGTTCATTTTGTGTAACTAATCTCAGCAAATAAAGCTAAAACATGGAGACTGAGAAACTGATCATTGATACTGAGCTCAGGTCAGATAAATGCAGTCTGCATTGTTTTGTATGTTGTTTGCAAAAGGTTGGCCTTGGCAATTACACCATATTATCTTAAACTGATGATTACAAAATCTTATGAGTAATGAGCGGTAAGCTGAAATAACTTGAAATAAGTTTATATTTAATTCCCCCTCTCTATCTTTGGCCCCACAATTATAATTAAAGATTCCCAGATTAGATTGCCAAGGTAAGTAGAGACTTTTCTTTCAATTTATAGGAAAATCTGATACATTCTTATTTAAATCAATACATCACTCATTACACACAATCTATTTTGGGGTATTCCTGCATCTTCTCTCATCATTTCATTGTCCTCTAGGCTTTTGTTCTCCATGTTTGAATTCCTTCCACTAATGGTCCTCTGGAGTGGGGGTAGAAGGAGGGGGAACAGGAAGTTTATCCCTCACCTACAATGACTCTTCTACTCACTAGAATTACATTTGGATTAAAACTTTCAAATTGTTATTTGTCTTGCCCTGTTGTTCAGTAACAAAGAAGAGCTCCACTCCAATCGGTTATAATTTTTAATGGACGATTTTTTAAGTATTGCAACACTAATAATCTGTGATTCTGAATTTAAAGCCAACACAATTGAATAAAGAATCTATTGTGATATCAGTAAAGATATTCACATTTATTTAGTATTTACAGACTTAAAGCAAAATTTATTTGAGATACAAAAATAGGCTATACATGGAACGCTATATGTTAAACCAGAAATTACTAGGTGTCTACAATTCCAATTATATGCATCACTAGTAAGATTCTTTTGTTGATTATGGTTTTAAAGTCTAGGATTATACTTTTCTTTAAGAGAATCATCGGTGATCTCATGTCTAATGCAGATAGATACACTTACCACGGAGACCTTCAAATTATTTACTTGCTGTGTTTTAATTGGGCATGTCAACAACCCAAATATTCTAGTAACATTTACCCAAAAATCATCTTAGAATTATTTTTGAGTTAGTGTTTTCAATCAAAAACTCATTAAATCAGAGAATCTTATGAAGACCAATGAAAAACTTTATTTTACCTTCTAAGGTTTCAAAAGCTCTTAAAAGAATCATTTTGAAATTAATATGTCCCTATAGAGTTGGTCACTTACCGCTTGTCCATAATTCCTATATGACAAAGAATGAAAAGTAAACAGTTCAGCTACTGTCAAAATTACTGCAATCATTGTAAGAAGTATGGATAAGATGTTCAAAATTATAGCACCTGTAATCTGAAAAGAAGATACAAGGGGATTTATTATAATCAGAATAAACACTTTGATTAGACGGTATGCTGAGAAAATCATCTAGTTAAAACTTTGATCTACTTTCTGAAGATTTAGAAGTGTTGGTATGCAGCCCTGGCCGGTTTGGCCCAGCGATTGGAGCGTCGGCCTGTGGTCCAGAGAGACCCGGGTTCGGTTCCCGCTAGGGGTATGTTCCTCGGTTGCAGTTTGTCCCTGGGCCTGGTTGGGTCGTGTGGGTGGCAGCCACTAGATGTGTTCCTTTCACGTCGACGTTTCTCTCTCTCGCTCTCTTCCTCTTTCTCCCTCCCACCCTGTCTGAACAAAAAATGGAAAAATGTCCTCGGGTGAGGATTAAAATAAATAAATAAATAAAATAAGAAGTGTTGGTATGTCCCATTGGAGTAAAATATTTTTTTGGTTAACATGAAATCCAGTTAATCTGGAGAAAACACTAAAATATCATTATTCAATTGGGCTAAAGAAATATTGTATTTTATAATTTTCTGAGTAAGTTGGAAGAAAGCGTATAAGATGTGATTCGAATAAAAGGGATTCCACTGTAAAAGGAAATATAAGAAAAAAGACTATTTGTAGAAATAAGCCAAATAAGGATCAATGATTTTTAATGCTGCATTTTAATTCTCTAGGAAAAATCCATCAATACCTTTAGATATCTGTACAGTTATGTACAGTTTTTATCTCTACAATTATAAGATAAGATGAATTCATTTCTAAGGTATTGTTTAGCTCTAAGATTTTCTCTTCCCAATATCTTTCCATCTATACCATAGACAGATCTTTATTCTGGACATAGCTTCTATTTCGTTACAAGATACAATCCTGTTCCCAAACTGGATAGTTAGGCAAATGGAGTTTTATAGCAGTGTTATATCAGTATATAAAGGCATTAGGTCCTGTTACATTTTTCTAACAGTAAAGTTTATATACGCTTAGAAAAAAGGTAGAATACCAAACAAAAAACAAAAACCCCACTATATTTAAATTTGGAAACTTTTCATAATCATGTTTCTAACTAATATAATGTGTGTCTACATTAAAGTATGTGCTATTGGATTTCACATAATTCCTTCATTTATTTTATAGGTAGGGTAGATTCCTTCACTGTTTAAATACTATTTTTTTTTAAACCTATTTAGTTTTGTGACAAGTGATATCTAAGATACCCTAAACAATTCAACTTACCAGGCATGGATATGGAATTCTTGCTACTGTTATTATGAGGGCTCCTGAAAGGATAAACTGGATATAAAAACATATATTTATAAATATTCATTAATAATGCTTATCAAACTTAAAATGTACTTTTAACAAGTCCTTCTTCTAAGTCAATTATTTTCATAATACTAAGAGGAACAAAATATAAAAAAGTTGTAGTTGAAGGAGTGAGGACTCATAGTAATGAATTGAAAGGCAATCATGGGTCACTAACAACAGGAATATATAGGGGGCAACGGGCAGAATCCAGGTTGTGGTATATGCCAAAAATGGCTTACGTGGTCCTGAATCAGGGGCTAAATTTGCTTATATGTGTGCATGCTTTCTGAACTCATTCATTTATTACTGCTGATGCTGTGCTTCCTTATAAAATGATGCTACTGATTATAATTACTGTACACATATTCAGATATGAAAAAGGTGGCCCATGAGTCTACTTCAAATTGTGTTTGTTCAAAATATATCTCTTAAATGAGACTATGGCAGTATTCAGGCAAAAACTGCTATTCATATTTTTGTCTTTTTCAAAAAGAGGTTCCTTTACCAGGCTACTTTGTCCATTTCCCAGAAGTATAAAATGATGCCATTTTTTAAAAAGTGGGCTGAACAATTCCCTTGAAATATTCCTTTCATATTATCTGTGTTGCTGCAGTGCTTTTGATGAAGATCCAAGTCAAAAGCTAATTTGTGGAAAAATAGTATTCATACTATATACCACATATAGAAAGGCCAAATCAGAAGCTTACTAACTCCTCAGGATAACTTAAATCTACACACTCAGCACTTCATTCTGCAACAAAAGCTGAGATTTCCAAGGATGTACACCGTGAAGGTAAGAGCTAATTCAGAATGTAAAGTGAAAATATCATTTTAATTTTAAACTGAAGTCCTCTCTCATTTAAACTACTACACCATGTGCTATACAAAATACCTTTCAAAATTTATGACCTAAATAAGAAGTTTGGCATTGGTTTAAACTTCATAGAATTTTTAGATAATTTATTCTAGGAGCCAAATATGCTCTTCACTGTATTTCTCCTATTGTTTTCCACGGCAGTGCTTTGGCCCTTGTGAGCCAAAGTATAAAGGCAGAGTATCTTCTAGAGGCCACTTCTTCAGCTGTAGTCCTCTCAAGCAGTGGCCACCTTGTCTCCAACAGCCCTTATACCATTGGTTGTACGCATGGGGTAAGTGGTCTCCTTGCTCCTCATTGCTATTTCCAACCATTCTCTCTCCTCCAGCTTTGAATCAAATATCATCAGATTCTATCACCCATTATCCCTCCTGGTTAAAGTCATGTCATTTTAATTCTTGTCTTTAACCCTGTCTCTAAATCTTTTAATCCTTGGTATTTTAATATATGCATATGTAATCCTTCTAATACCCTGGGCTTGAATTTATATCCTTTAATCCTTTAATTCCTTCCTATCTCAATCACTCACTCCATACCATTCTCTTGTCTTTGTTTCTGCCAATAAGTGTAACGTCTTTCAAATCTCAGTTTCAATCCCACTCTGATCATCAACTTCTACTTTCCTGGCTTATGCCCTGTAGTATTACAAATCTAACAATTATTTGACACCATTAGATCTATAATCCGAGCCCCTCAACTCCCTGTTACATTCTCTCCTTCATTATCTTAAATTCCATGGTCAACCACTACAAACATTCACCTATATATACTCTCAACTCCTTTGCACCTTTCTTGTTTAATCACAGTTACATGCTTAGACCAAAATCCTGATGAAATGCAGTTCTTACTGCATGCCTGTACCCACGCAGCCAATCATGGCCTGAAGAAGACACACAACCATCTTGTCCCAGCAAACTCTAAGCTTAAGTAAGCCCTCACTGCTGTGTACAAGTCAGACTACTTTTCCACAATACATGCACTCTCTCACTTTTCCTGGATGACTATTTCATGTCCTCTCCTGTCTCCTCATCCCATCCACTCTCCCCTTTGCACTCACAGCTCATCGTATTGCTTTCTACTTCACTGAGATATTTGAAGTTACTGGAAGAAAAGTTCCACAACCTTCCAACATCCCATCTACCTACTTATCAAAATGTTTTTCCTCTCTCTCTGTTCCTCTACCTTTTCCTTCTGTGACCTACCTTGACACAATTTGCATTAAGGATGGATAATTCTTTGTTGTGGGCACCGTTCTGTGCATTCTAGGATGTTTATCAGCATTCATGGTCTCTTCCTACTAGAGGCATACCCCAAGCTAGGAAAATTAAAATTGTCTCCAGACACTGCCAAATGTCCTCTGAGTGGCAAAATCACCTGTAGTTGAGAACCACTGCTAAAGATGAACTGTCCATGCCCTTAGCCATTTGTGTATTAGAATTCATCATATCTTGCCTACACAAGCACATGATTCTAATGATCCCTCCCTCCTACTATTTATCTCATATCATCAATTTTCTCTTCTGAGTCAGTTTCCTCGATAAAAGACATGATATTTCCAACTTACTGAAACAAATAAGCAAACCTTCTCTTGACTCGAACTTTTCCCAGCTACCACCTCATTTCATTATACCACATTACAGCAAAGTCCTTAGAGGACTTGTCTGTGTTTACTATCAATAAATTCTCATCTTCCATTATTTCTTAAACCAATTCCAGGCAGACGTTTGTTCCATTATTCCACTGAAACTATTTATCAAGTTTACTACTAGCCTCTATATTGCTAAATCCAATGGTCAGCCCTTGTCTTATTTGATAAAATAGAATTTAATATAGTTTATCTTTTCCTATTTCTTTGTTTGCTTGGTTTCCAGGATGCCACACTCTCAAGATTTCCCTACTACATATGGCCATGTAGAAACCACAGAAGAGTGCAGGTCATGACAAATTTAGAAAATGTGTGCATGTCGATTCATTGTGTGAGGAAGCTAAGGTAGTGATCCTAAATATAACACTTAATCATACTAAAGGATATTATGGTTAAGATTCTTTCTCTTTCCCATGTCTAAGGACAACCCAATGTATGGGTGTCATTGTGTATTTACTCCTGTATCCATATCTCTTATAACAGCACTGGTAAATTAATAGCGCTCAAAAAATATTTGTTGAAAAAAAAGGAATTTTATTTTGAATGAATTACCAACCTGGGATTTTGTCACATAATTCTCCTGAAAACTTTGTTTGGAAACTCCTCCCTATCTTCCATTAGTGGCATGCATATTATTTACTGAATGATTAAATGATATAAATGCATCTACTCACAACAACTCCCCATAAAGAACATCCTGCTTGGTAAGTTATGGGTGAATATATCCCAAAGACTCCTGGAGTCTGTCCTATATACAAAGTCAATAGGAGATACCACATGAAAACATGAAAGATGCCCATCAAAATCTGGATAGCCTGTGGGAAGAGAATACTGTTAGTACTGAAATCATGTAATTTATGACACAATTCCAATAACTGTTAACTCTGAGAAATTTCAACACTATTACAAAAGATAAAAGTAAAATGGCAATCCACTTAACCATATATTTCTTGAATTGGTTCACCCCAAAAGAAGGCCCTAACTAGTAAGTGCTGAAGTTTATCAAATAAGAATCAGCCATGCTTAGAACACTAGATTATTCCATAATAATTCTGGCCGATTACCCTGTAAGAAAGATGACAATCTAACTTTATTACTAGCCATTTTTCCTATCTACCAAGTAATGGCGTGAAAGGATAATACTGAGGTTAGAAAGTGTGGTTACTAATCTATTTGGATGCAGGTGGCCACATATCCAACATTTTCTTGTTCATTAATAATTTATTAAGGATGAATCACTTTGAATCTTATGAAGGTTTGAAATATCTTTTTTGTAAAGGCACATTTGGTATGGATCTTTTTCACAAGCATGCTGGCATGAGGTACACAGATATTCAAAGAATATCTGAATTAGACTTGCTTGTACAAGGTCTTCCTATTGAATGAGGATGGGTTAGGTTAGAGGAGAATTATTCCTCAACTTTAATTTGTAAGAGTATAATTACAAGCTTAGTAAATTTATTTCTGAATTTATATGTAAACTAGTATTTCATATTCTGAATCACATTTTTAATTAGTCTTTAAAATTTTCAGAGGGTACATTATTTTCATTTTATATAAACTTTAATAGAAAGCTATTTAATGTTTTATCTTTAATTGTTTCAGCTCTTTGTAAAGCAAATAATCTATGAACTACATAAATGCAATTGGCTGATATTAAAAATACATTTTAGATAAGTGGGTTTTTTGGTACAGAAAGACCACTTTTGGGGGTAACAATCTCATGCACTTTTATAGATTTAGAATTTGAGATTTCCTGTGCATCAAATTTAAAAGAATGGCATTACTATGAGAGGTTCTTGTGCCCAGTGCAGGGGAGGCTCCCAGAAATTACCTCATGTACTGGAACATCAGTATCAAAACATAAATTCCATGTGACTTTCCAACTGTTAAAAGGAGTGACTAGGTTTGAAAAACAATGTCTCCTTTTATATAATTGGCAATTGTTCTATATAAAACCACAAAATACCCATTTAGCCAAAGCTTGTGAAGACCTCTACAAGAAAGCAAGGCTGCTAGTGTGTGGAGAAGGACAAGATGGGCTTTCTTATCTAAAAATGGTTCCTGTGGGGTGGAAGTGGGGAGAAGGGGGTCAATGAGGGAAAAGGGGGGAAACATCTGTAATACTCTCAACAACAAAGATTTAAAAAAAATAATAATAATAATGCCCTGGCTGCTTTGGCTCAGCAGTTGGAGGGTCAGTGCGCAGACCAGAGAGACCGGAGTTTGGTTCCCACTAAGGGCATGTACCTTGGTTGCAGTTTGTCCCCGGCCCCGGTTGGGGTTGTGTGGGTGGCCACCAGTCTATGTGTCTCTCTCACGTCAATGTTTCTCTCTCTCTCTCCCTCCCTCCTGCTCTGTCTGAAGTTGAATGCAAAATGTCCTCAGGTGAGGATTTTTAAAAAAATAGTAAAATAAAATATTAATAATAAATAAATAAAAATGGTCCTTGGCTCTGGCCAGGTAGCACAGTTGGTAGAGCATCATCCCGATATACCAAAGTTGCCAGTTTGATCCTGACCTGGGCACCTTGGCTAAGGCGACTAAATGACTCATTTTTTTATCATCAATGGACCTACCTCAATATTTTTTCAATAATAGGTTAATTACCCCCCTGAAGTAAAGGAATTTTGCCTAAGATTATAGTTGCCCCACATGTTGGGAGGCATTTGCAGGTACTTGTGAGCCCTTTTGACTTCTGTAATCCCTGCCACACCCACTACTGCACCAGGTCCCTGTGGGGAGGCAAAAGGGGGATGGGGCTTCTGTCTTTAAAATCAAAAGAGCAAGAAGAATCTGTGCTGAGGATCTGGGGAAGCTGTCCCTCCCCGCCCCCAAGCCCACCGGTGTAGTGAAGTGCTCCTTTACGATTCGGCTGTGCGTCTCTGGTTATCTCACGAACACGTTACAACAATCCCTGGTCAGGACACATAGAAGAATCAACCAATGAATGCATAAATAAGTGGAATAACAAATCTCTCTCTTATCCTCCTTTTCTCTTTCTAAAATCAATACATTAAAAAAAAAAAAGTTTTTAACCTAAACCCAATGAATGGGTTCCAGGACAGATTCCTCCCCGGGGGGGGGGGGGGGGGATGAGTGTGAAGGATTATGATATGTACCTGAGTCTGAGAAGACCACTCAGAGCTTTCTTCCTATGTTTAAGGGTCTGTTATTCCACAGAGGTCAAGAACAAGTCAGGTAGGAGACAGACAATTGGTCCACACAATAGCAAATTCAAAGGAAAAGTTCATATCCAGTAGAAAGTTTTTTCCCTTTCAGATGTGAAAGAGTATGATCTTCATAATTCCTTGGTGTTTTATTAAGAGTACTATACAACTCTGTTTACAGCTTAAGAGACAGATTAATAATCACCCTATTGTGTAGTACAACAATTAAAAGAGATCTCTTTCACAGTTAAAAGAAAAAACACTTTTTAAAATTATTCCTATTTGGGATTTTATCTGTATGTTAGTTTAGTCAGTGTACTTATGCCTAGCAGATACTTGTTTATAAAGGGGCATGAGATCATTAAAAATTTGTAGAACATAATCGACATTCAAATTTTTTTTTTACCCTTTTGACGTAACCAAATCTGACCCTTTCCAGATTCAAGAATATTCCCTATTAAATTGAAGTAGTGCATGACCCCAAATGTAGTCGAAGTGAAGTTGTACTTACCCCTAACACAAGTGCATCTGCTGTAGAGAGTTTTGACCAGGCACGTGGAGCCATGCTTCCAGCATTTCTTCTAGATGATTGTCTCTCTAATCCTTGGTGGTATCTTTATTAGCAAACTTCTACAAAGCAATACAGAACACATGCACGCTTTGCTCAAAAGAAAATACTTAAGTTTGATTCTTTCCTTATTGTTTCGCAACCACCTCCCCAAACCAGGAAGCAATAGCTTTCTTCTTCCCATGCCTCCAGTTTTAGCAGCATCAACTTGCATCTACCCATTCTGAATAAGAGTCTCCATAACTGGAACATCTCTCTGTGACTAAAAGATAATGATATATTGCAGATATTTTCTGTGAGTATTCAGCATTGTCTCTGGATGATAAAGAAGAAAGAAGATCTAGGGAATAGTGTTAAACACTTTTCAGTAAAGTTTTTAACAATTCATTTGCAATTCATAATCAATTCAATGCAATTCCTAATGCCAGGCTGACATTTACAAAACTAAGTTCTTTTACTTAAGTTCATCATGGGTTTGTGATTTCTTTTCTGACACAAACATATTACTTATTTCCTGTTTCTATATGAAAGAACTTTTTCTTCCATCAAAGTTGCTTCCACAATCCTAAAAGCTTCTTCTTCTTTTGTGTTTGTTTGTTTTTCCTGTATTCCTTCCTGGTGTTTAGATCATCTTCTCATTTACATTAAGATAAAAACCTGACTAATAATATATGTATTATTGTAATGTATCCCCTTAAGGGATTTTATCCTCTTGTGGATCAGAAATTATACTGTTCTACATCTTCTAACTTGTCATATTTAAGTCAATAACATAAGTGATGCCACTTAGCCAGGTGATCCTCTAATGGATGATCTTAAAACTTGAGCCTTTGTCCTTTCAGAAAGGAGGGATTTTAACTAAATGGCCTTTCATTCCCTGCACTCTTAAAATCTCATGATTTGATTTTTTTTTCTCCTCACCTGAGGACATTTTTCCTTTTTTTTTTTTTTTTTTTTTTTGTGGTACATGCCCCTAGCGGGAACCGAACCTGGGACAATCTGGTCCGCAGGCCGATGCTCAACCACTGAGCCAAACTGGCCAGGGCCATTTTTCCATATTTTGTTCAGATAGAGTGGGGGAGAGAGAGAGAGAGAGAGAGAGAGAGAGAGAGAGAGTCATCGATGTGAAAGGGACACATCGAGCGGTTGCCACCCTCACGACCCAACCAGGGCTGGGGACAAACTGCAACCAAGGTATGTGCCCTTAGCGGGAACCAAACCCGGATCTCTCTGGACCACAGGCCAACGCTCTAACGGCTGAGCCAAACCGGCCGGGGCTGACTTGATTATTTTAATGAGTCTTCAGTTTCTAAAACTGATTTTCTTAATAGCTCTGAATTCTATAAAGTATAGAGACCAAAAACAGAACAAAACAAAACAAAAAAACAACAAACCTAGGTAAGAACACAAGAGCTAGTAACAGGGAATAAAGAAAACAGTATGTTAATAACTGAAATATACATCATAAGCTTTGTATATTCAAACACTGCCTCTGAGAAATACCAAAGGAAAGCTATAGGTCTATGGGCAACCAAAACTAATCACTCTGTCATGCTTAACTAAAAGGGATAGAATTACAGAATTTATATATAGAGAGAGGATCTAGATTGCAATTATTTCACCTTTCAGATAAAAGAAAAAGAATAAGCCTTTTTGTGTATATGAATTCTTTTCACGTTCACAGTGGACAGTGAAAGCTGCATGGCCCTTGCCGGTTTGGCTCAGCAGTTAGAGCGACGGCCTGCGGTCCGGAGAGACCCGGGTTTGGTTCCCGCTAAGGGCATGTACCTCGGTTGCAGTTTGTCCCTGGCCCTGGTCGGTTGTGCGGGTGGCAGCCACTCGATGTGTTCCTTTTACCTCGATGTTTCTCTCTCTCTCTCTGTTCCTCTCTCTCCCTCCCACTCTACCTGAACAAAAAAATGGAAAAATGTCCTTGGGTGAGGATAAAAAAAAAAAAAAGAAAGCAAGCAGCATGAGCGACTTGAAGAAAAGAATACTTAGCATCACTATGATCCCTATCAGGCCCCCACCAAAACCATCCAAAATGAGGTAGTCATTACAATACTGAGAAGTGCGTGTGTGTATTTAAAATCCTCAGCTTAATCGATGAAAGGAAGAAACTGAGACATATTATAATATATTCCCGGAATTAAACGATAGTTAGAATTAAGGAAAAAAAACATTCCGCATGAAGTTAGTGTACAACCCAGTTAAGTATCCCATTTTTGTAAAAGTAAAGAATTTCATAAATAAAATGAATCATTTATTTTTTGGTATTTTCTGGGGATCCCATCACTACCTGAAAAAGCAGCGTTTGGACAAGCCCCTAGCTCTGATTGCCAACCCCCTAAACTTGCCTTACAAAGCCTGGAAGAGTCGCAGAGAGCTCATGTCTAGAAACCACTTGTCCATCTTTGGCATCTTTAGTAGCCATGCAACTCCTCACTGTCTTCAAATCCTTTGGCGGGGCCTACAAAGCCCTTCATGAACTGCTCCCTGCCCGCCGTCTCAGCCTCGTCAGGGCCGCTCCCTCGGTTTCAGCCCTAACAGCTCCAACAGGGACCGTTCGGGGAGCCTCCTCTCCGGGTTCCCCAAGGTTCTGACCTGCGTGCCTCCGATCACAGCACTGTGCCGAGTCGGCGTGAGCTCCCAGAAGCCAGGGAGTGCATTTCGTGTGTTCAGGGCCCGTCCTGGAGAGACTCATACTGGGTGAGCCCAGCTCCGGGGCTTGAGGGGCACCGAAACCTGTCTCCAGCCCCCCTTACAGTTTTAATGCTTAAGAAATCCCATAAGCACAGCGACATCATTACCCCTCATCAGGTCCCAAGGATCGAGGGCACAGGCCCAGGCCAAGGGGGTCTCCACGCGGGCCTGGATGAAGAGGCAGATCTCAGCTGGCCGCGCCTTCAGGGCCTGGTCGTCAGGCCCTGCCCAGAGGTCATCACTTAGGTAGCAAGGAGCCCAGGACCAGCTGGCCCTCAGCTCCTCGCTCAGGCCTCTGGGGCTTCCAACGGGCAGCAGCGGTGTGGTCCTGGTGCGCCTGCGCGCCCACTCCTGGCGGGGTGCGCGGGAGAACTGTGCTCAGACTCGTTAGGCCACATGGGCCTCTGGGTCTGACCCACGCCAACCACCACTTGGGGTATCTCGAGAAGTGGCTTTTCCAAATCTCCGTTTCTGATATTGGCCCTTCTGGAGCGTTTCTTGTATACACAACTGCTGCAAAGCGACCAGCATCACCCATAGCCTTTTTGCTCTCAAATTTTGGCCACAAATGCACTTTAGAAAGTGTAAATAATGAAAAGGCAAGTAGCTGAGTCAATGACTCACTTAAAAAAAAAAAAAAGGTAGCTAAATAAGGAAATTGATGAAGAAAATATTTAACAAGACACCAGAGTGACTGCTGAGGTGAGTTGACTTTTCAGATTATACCCGGCATCAGTTTTCTATTGATGTGGACTGTGGTTAAAACAGTGTTTAAGAGGGATGTGTAAAGACGTAGAGGTAGCCCTGGCTGGGTGGCTCAGTTGGTTGGAGCATATTCCAGTACACCAAAAAGGCAATCCATCAATTAATCTCTCTCTCTAAAAATCCATAAAAAACAAACAAAAACATATCCTTGGGTGAGGATTTAAAAAAAAAATAGAAGTAGAGGCAGCAGCTAGAAGGTATACAAGAATTGTATGTGAGGTGGATGAGGAATTAGAAGAAACAAACTCAAGCCAACTGTATCTTTAATTCTCTCCTTACACAGTTAATCATTTTAGTAAAACTTTGACGATCTCCTAAGCTTTTTTGCCTTTCTGCTATTTTATCAACCCCTCTAGCAACCCCCTAACCTTGGATGAAATCATTTAGGTGCTTTATCTGGATTCACATCTGAGCAGCCAAATGTGCTGAAGCAGTTTGTATATAAATATGTGATCACCCCCTCAAATGTGCTCTCAGTGCAGCCTGGCAGTCTTTCTCTCTTTCTCTGATCAATTTATTCTATTTTTTATTACTTTTCCAACATTACCCTTTCTCTTCAGTATTCTGACTCTACACCTGCCCCCCCCCCCCCCGCCCCGGGCATGACCTTACTTCTACTCTGACAGAGATGACACCAACCACCATATAGGAGCCTCCTGCAATACTCATTGGCATCACTGCAGACCTGTTGGTATCTGCAATAATGACATCTTCCTTTCTGATTTGTAGGTAAACCACTCTTCCTCAAGACTTTGGTCATGCCCTTCACATACACATTTGATTTCTTAAAACTCACACTGTCATTCATCCCTTATCTCTAATCTTTTCAACATCTCTCTTACCTGGATTGCTCCTATTGGCTTTTAAACATGCCCACGTTTCACCCACTTCACAAACAAAAAAGCCGAAATCCCAATAAAAACTCCTTGGTGTCCTATCCTTGTCTTGCTGTTACCCAGATTTGCAAATGAGTTTAATGTATGTGAAAAGACTCTGTAAATAACAAAGCTTTATAGATATCCAAAAGGCAAGATGTTTGATGATATTAATGTACAAAATAATATGACCTCCAACAAGTGCAATTGGGCATTTGCTTTCTGAACAGAAAGAGGATGAGTAAGTAAACTTGAGTGACTTCGGCACCCTGTGAATCATCATCAAAGAAATGTTATCAGTCTACTTTGCGGTGTTTTGTCAGATCTAGTGCTCTACAACCAATATCAAACCCAAAATGAATTTTAAAAATATACCAAAGAAGGAGTGTTTTTCTGGTAATATTTTATTGAGGGAAGGGTAACATTCACATGAACTTTTTAACCTTAAGTTTGTTGCAGAGTTATTTTCAGTCCTCTGGGCCTTCACCCTTGCTGATAATGTTAATGGTGTGTAGGAAGAAATGGTGGCAGGGAGAGGCACACAGTTATCACTAGTGACAAACTAAAAACAAATCTCAAACCCAGTCTCTAAAGATTAGAAATCATCGTGGGCCGTAGAGCCCAGATTCTTAAGAACATTCCGCAGAGTAGTTT